CCTCCTCCTCCTCCTCCTCAGAGGTTGTCCTACATTCTTTTTCCATATATATAACGGACAGCGGACCCGCGGCTCAGCGGTAGAACGTTCGAATCAATGGCTAAAGATCTCGGGTTGAGACCCCAGATGGTCAAAACCTGGACTTGGTTATGACTGACTGCTAGCGAGTAGTAAGCCAGGAATGACCATTTCAGTCTCCGTTGTCCTTGTCGGTATTTGCCTTCTGTACTCATGTTTATCTATAGCTAACAGAAGCGTAAAAAGGTGCCCGTTAGCATGGACTAGAAAAAACGTCGATACCAGCAACAACGACTGTATTGTTTCGAAGGTACAAAAGCGAAGGGTCTTTATTGTCGTAAACGAGGTTGTTCCGTGCCTCAGTGTTCATAGGATTTACGCTTATGCGAGCGGAGCCTTAGCAGCAGGGGTCAGAGATGCGGTGGCTGCGTCGGAGTACTGACGGTAGGAGGACGTCGAGGCATGTACTTTGGCTTTGGCAGGTCATCGTCCACATCCAAACATCTATCTCAGTTTTCGGGTCCAGACCGCAGATCTAGTTTGCATCCCCTGGCTGGCTCCAGTCACTTCAATTCGGCAGGATCTGACGGTCGAAACAGTCAGCAACTTGCCCGATAGACGGCAGAACTAGTTGGATGAGAAGAGAAGGCGAAGACATCTAGGCAAACTCCTTAAAGAATGACTGGAGTCGTACTTCCCACTCGCATGAACCATGCTCAAACAGGACACAGCTGTACCAGTAAGAACGTTGTTTTCGAACTTCGTCACAGTGGTAGTTCTATGAAAACTAGGTACGCTGAACCCCACAGGCAGACATTTCGGTCGAGATATGTTGATGACCCCTTTATCCTCATCAAGTAGGGAACGGTTCCGGAAATTTTTTGCGACTAAAATTCAGTTTTCCCGGACACCCAGTTTACAGTAGACGCAGAGAACAGTGACCATCTGGCGGTCCTGGACGTCCTCGTCAATCGAAAGTCTAAAGGGTGCCTAAAATAATTTATGGGAAGGCTACCTAAATGCGGCGACTCATAAGCTACCACTAGAGGCATCCGTTTACTTCAAACACAGCCCTGTTCGAAATACCTGCAAAGTTAAACAAACAAACATCAAAGGGCCAGGCGAAAAAATTTTTGAACTTCTCTAACTCCAAAGGCTTCGTATGACAAACGGGCCTTCCCACAATTTTATCGAACGCGATAAACACTCCAAGGCAAGCCGAGACGATTCAAGCAACAACCAAGAGTCTGGTGGATATTTCCGTACAGTTACGCCGTTTTTGAGGCCGTCACTGTCTCTTAAAACAGCTAGGAGTTGACCTTGCTCACAGACCTAAAAAAACCATCCGACATCTGATCATGGGACGAAGGAGCTCCTGCCGTGAAGTGAAACAAATTTCAGCCAAAAAGTCGCTGCGGGGGAGGTTGTTTGATTACCCACCACAATACAAAGAAACGGGAATAAACGGATGATTCTTCGCCTGCTGCAATGTGGTCCATCAGTGGCAATTCGTTCTCACGATAAACAACTCCAACAACTTACCGGTCAGGAGTGAGGTCCTTCCCCTTTTTGCCCTTCTTCTTCCCCTTCTGCTTTTTGGGTTTCTTTTTTGGAATCCGCTTCTGCTTTTCCTTGTCTATGGCAATTTTCAAGTTGCGCAGCTCTTGGCGCATTAATTCATCGACCTAGTAGTAGTAGAATGGAAAGGAGTGTTGGTGGAGGCGTACTGCATAGCATTCTGAATAAAATATCCTGCCCCAACGAATATGACAGGAATTAACTTGTCTGTCGGAAAAATCTTTAGTGGTTTTTTAATCCAAATACCTCCGAATTCTAAGCAAAGCACTTTTAGAAGTTTTTGGAAAAGTATTTTTTGGGCTTTGGTGGGTATTCCCGAGAAAAGTCAGCCTTATTCATTAAACGAATCTTCGAGTGACTGGCTGGGTTGCGTAAGAGATAGTGAAGCCCGAGAAAGAGTGAAGTCAAAGGTCTCTATGAGTACGGCCTTGTTTGTGTCCAGAATTTTCAAAGCATCGGTCAGCCACGGTCAGTCACGTCTCAGTAATTGTGGGATTTTTTTCTCCGTCGAATAAGGCAGATAATCTCAGCAGGGAGTTTTTTGAAACGATTTTTATCATAGCTGATATAATTTTCTTATAATATCCAGCCACATACATGTGCTAAAGAAACCCAGGACCTGAAGTAACCTTCATTTTAGTAACCGATCGTCCTCAGGAAATTTGCGGAGGAAACGACATTCCAAACAGAAAGTGAGATCTTGACGTAGGAGGCACTAGTATGCTCGGGATACCTTAAATTGATCTGACAGCGATTCCTCTTTCAACAAATTTACTAAACCGAAGTCTAGATGCGTATTTTGGTGATCACGTGCATTAGCTTGTTGACAAAAGATTGGAATGGAGGCACTCACATGAACGCGAATTTCCAAGTCAAGCTCGGCCCGCTTGTCTGCTTCAATCAGTTCTTCCTCGTGTCTCTGGAAGAAATTATTGCTCTCGTCGCGATATTTCCACAATTCTAAAAAGGGGCAGTAAATGCGCTTGAAGTAAGGGTGATGGAGACCCAAAAATAACAATGTTTCAGCAAGAAGGATACCCTTGTCAAATATTGAAAAGGCAGATTTCCTAAGATGATCTTCCAGGCGCGGCTGATAACAAATTTTAATTCCTAATTCACTACCAGATGGTTTTAAAAATTACCCATAAATAAATGAATAGTTCAAGCTGGTACTTCTACTTGGGGGTATCCGCATCCTAAAGTTTGAAGAAAAATTTACCGTAACTATGATTATGGGGCTGACTACATCAAGATGTAAATGATACACAGACGTTAAATAACCCTTCATAATTGTCGCAGGGTGCATTTTATCGGCTGAACGACTGAGTATAACTACTCGTACATAACTCGAATTAGGAGAACGTTTACGGGGGAAACTGTCTTAGTCTTAGGAAATAACAAAAAGGGTAATGGCTTAGGATCCTTTTCTGTGCGTAAATATCGTAAATGCCATCGATAAAGGGGCTTTCACTGGTCACGTTATTAAACATGAGTTGAGGTATGGCTGGTTGAAAACGACTGACAAGCCAAAAACTGTTGCCATAATCTAACTTGTCCTTTTAGGTATCCATTTTACCCGTTCCGTATCCCGCTATGTTAACCAGTGCAGTGGTATTTGACCAGTCAGCTACCGTGTCCATCTCGTGGTCTAAAGATCCGAGTTCCCTTTCAACGCACTGCCATCTCTAAAAAGCAGCACCGGACGCGGTCCTTATGTCGTGTTGAGGACATGTCGCACGTAACATAATTTTTGGGAGAGTCAAGATGCAGTTAATGTACTTGGCCTGTCTCATGAGATGCTAACTGAAATTCCGAAATATGATATCGACTAAAAATAATTGCTTATGTTAGATTGTAGTATTGACTATCAGGAAGACTAATCTCAAAATATCTTAGTCAAAATAGGATGCTGTCTGTTAAATGCGCGTCCATTCCGACAACCTGCAAAAATAAGTCTTAAAATGAGCAGAATTGTGGTACGCCCTTTTAGGTCCGGACATATTTCATGGAGGACAGGCATACAATTTTATGAGCCCTATATAATACTTCTTTAGTTGCATAGGGGAAGGTATATTTTTATTTAATGGAAAGTGTATAATGTTGTATTGCGTTTCCATACTAGTCGAATAGGTACTAGATAATGCCCGTGTGTACTACTGACTGGCTGTGGGAAGTTTACAGATATTTCGCGGTTATCTCGCTGAGTCCGATAGATTTTAGCTCAAATATTCACATCAGATTTCGGATTAAGCCCACAAAACTTCATTTTGACTGATTTACTCTCAGTTAACGTATAAATTTCTGAGGAGATCAAAAAGATGGGAAGTGTGCGGATTGTAGTTTAAATACCCTAAACAATAGTGCAACACCAGGTTAAATTCAAAATTATCCCGTGATTGGATAACGTTTTCAAAATAAACTATAGGGTATCTTTTAAAAGAAACTTTGGGTCGAATATAGTATATCACAAAATATATATATATAGGAAATAGTGTTTTTGAGTATGCTTTCTATAAATTAGGTAAGGATTTGCAAGAGCACCACAAAGCAACGGAAAAATACGTACTGTCCAAGTAGTCATCTATAAATGCGATGTTTGCTGACAGTCGAAAGAATGCGCATTCAAACGTCGGCATCCTAATGCAACTGAAACATCTTGGAATTATGTTGCATGATAGTCAATATCACAACCCCACCCAGGTAACCCTTTCCAACTAATACCATACTTCAGCATATCAGTTTACATTTTATGAGGCGTATGTTACTTACGAAAGTTGTATTAACCTTCGAATCTATCCAGCTGGCTGCAGGTTTATCGTGTGTCGCAAATCGTCATTCACCATAGGATGATTCACATGAAGATCCTAGAAGCGATTAAATCGACACTGGTGTCCCACTGAGTTCATAAAAGTTCCGTTTTCCCCTTGAGAACTGGGACATCGGTTAGAGAAGTCTGTTTTCGGCTCTCTGGCTTGGTGGGAAAATAGCATGTGGAAATCGGATGCGTTGCAGGGGGATTACCCTATATCTGTAATCACTATCGTCCCATAACCTCATAGATGCTGCAGGTTTTCATATGCTCCGTTGCTACTGAAGCTTCAAACATTGGAGTCTAGGGGTAGGCTTATTTCCCCCAAAACGCTTTGAGCAGGGGAAGTGCCGCCAACGTAGTGATTTCTCGAGGATTTTTTCCTAGCGCTTAGGGACGGGAAAATGACTGAGACAGTGTACAAGGTAACATCACAATAAGAATTTTATAAATGCCTGGGACGTACGTTCGTATTCACTGCAACCACTCTGAAGGCCTTCGAGGAAAACAGATGGTCCTATCATCCAACCCTCGGGTTCTTCCTGTGCAAAATGTTTATTGTCTTACAACACTGAGGCTTGACATGAAGGAAAACGACTTAATCTCTGTCCTTTTAAGAATAAAAAGTGGATCAGGGGCCGCACAAAATCTTACTCATTAGACCGTTACGCAAACAAATAGTAAGGAAAATGGGGTCAGCGCATCTAACACGGCCCATCTTCTGATAGGTACGAAATGGAGAGCTAATTTCCTCTCAGTAAGAAGCCGAAAACGACAAAAAAATACATACTTCATTATTTTTTTAATTCTAAGAATAGGCAGAAATCTATATTCCATCCCCTGTTTACCCTCAGGCAGACCCTAACATATAAGAACGGTTAGCGTCTTATTCGTACCCAAAGACTGGGAGTGGCGAGTCTTGAGCTAATGCCTGACCGTTCACTTTGCTAGAAATTACTATCCGTTCTTCCATTCCTCGGTAGAATTTTTGTATATTTGCATATGTTCCTACCTGAATAGGTACGCACCGCTCCATTAACTTTCCAAAGAAAACGAGACATAAATGTATGGCAGAGGCGCCGAGCAATCAACGAACGATCAGATCCAACTGGGTCACGATAGCGACTTTTATTGTTATGGCTGAGCTCGGCCTGATCGATAATTGCCCGCCGGTGACCCCTGTAAACTATTTGAAACGTTCTTGGTTCGTGAAGTCACTGGGACAGCGTACGCCTGTTCCTTGCGTACACACAATCTGCGGCAACAGAAATTGTCAAATAACGAGACACCGACGAACATATGTTCGGTGAAGTGCTTATTACCATTTGATAAAGCACATCCAAATAGCATCTGCACCGTATGTGCGCGCATATTTGTAACCCTGGCCCCGATTTTGGTCAGGGATGAACTCAAAACAGCGCTGTGTCAGTCTACATGCGTCCTTATTAAAACCCTCTGCTATTTTCATACATGATCTGCTAATGATTCCGCAGAATATCAACGGAGAAGTATGGAGAGATGTCGACCTGGAAATTTAAATTAAAATCTGCCATTAGATACAAACGGCTTCTGTAAAATAACCGCCAATGTCTGCATATGCAGCAGACAGTATGCAATATATTGATTACACATGATAGCTTGACCATTTTTATCAACGATATCCACCGTATTCCGGACAGAAGGATAGATGCAAGGATGGTGACTTGCGCGTGAATTAGTTTATGGTTGTGGAGGACCTCTGCAACATCTACCACACTCTCTCCTCCCCCGCCTTCCAGTACCCGATGTCATGGCAGAGTCAAGAAGTTTGGAGACGGGATTGATTGCAGTTGGCTGGCGCGACGTGAGCCTGCGTCTAGACGCGCGGTCGCACCCCGCACGTAGGACATTTACCGTGGATGCACAGCCCGGTAACGTGTGCCCTACTCTAGGCCTGCTTTCCCGTGTTGGTCCAGCGAAACTCCGGCCCCACCCGTTGTAAGAGGCACAGGCGGAACATAGAAGGAGCATCACCCCACACCCCACCCAAGTACTCGGCAGGCTTTAGGTGGAAAGTGGGAGGCTAATACTTATGCCTTGACGCCTTCATCTAACGCCAACCCAGTGGCAACCTGAAAAGAGCTAATGTAGGAAGAAATGCCAACAAGCTGCACAGATAGAGCTATAATAGCAGTAACGAAGCTCCGACCACCGTCGCTCCACAGCAGGATGAGAGCAAGGACGGCAACGTGCGCGCGAATTAATTTATAGCGATAGAAGACTTGCAGCACCTACCGCGCTCTCTCTCTCTCTCTCTCCTTATCCTCCACCTGGATCTGGTGTCAAGACAGAGTCAAAAAGACCAGAGGCGGGAGAGGGCGCAGGTGGCTAGCATGGCGAAAACACACGCTTAGACGCACCACCACGTCCCCTGGCCCACGATGTACACCGGCCAGCATTTTACGCAACAGCAAAAAGGGGGCGGCTCGGATCCTAACTGGTGCGGGTATGCCTGCAACTCGTCGTGCCGTCGCATTAAGAATGGTCGGGTCTCATTTCGTAGCCGTACCTGCAGTTGACAAGCCCCACCCTAACTCCAACCCTTAACCCCAATTCAAACCACAACCCCTCACCCCTAACCCTAACCCCTAATCCCTTCCTGGTACGACTACAAAGTAAGATCTTGCCTTAGAAATATTGGTATTTGTTACGGGTACACATTTCCAATAACGCCTACCGGACTCTGACCTAGCCCCTGCATTGGTCCAGCGCGAGTCAAAATATAACTCTTCAGTCAATGACACAATTGCGCATTTCCAAGAAGTCTTCAGAGCTGACGAATGCCTAACTGCATTTGTCGAGAAAAGGGGATGTGTCGAAAGGCCATAAGTGGAGTAGTAAAAGGGCCCAGGTAATAGCGGAGGATCCCGTGCATGAAAGAAGCCTTCGGAACGTGTCAACATCCTCCGAGTCACTCGGGACTACGCGGCCTATCAGCAAACGGTAGTAAATGTGATTCATTTGGATACACGAGTATCGTTCACTGCAGCCTGTACTGGTGATAAAACATCGGGTTCTCTAGAACGCATGGACAGCGCACTTCATGTTGTGAGCTGTGTTTAAAGAGGCATGACTCGCATGGCCGGATGAAATAACAGACAAACAGTACGTCGTTATCGATAAAGCCCTCCTGCTCTATGGATTTTAATGAATACATGTGGTCATATGTCTGTCGTCCACGGCCTTAGATAGGCTTGCCGTCTCCTGGTAATGCATTACAACAAATTAACAATAAGAAAGAATAATAACTCACTTGCCACTGCTTTCTATGTAAAGGACAGGAAAACTTTCGCAGTTTGCTACCTGTTTATGATTTTTTTAAAGTGAAATGGTGAAGTTTTCCCGGCGGATACTGCGTACAGCATGGCTATTTTTCTAAAATACTCTCAGCTTTTTCATACCTCTAATCAAAAAAAACAAAATCACTTATAATCAGGGAAAAGGAATTAAAAATAATGAAATCCCTTATTATACTTTGAATGTGTCAGCCTTTTATAGTACTGTGCAGACTGCCGTTTAAGGCTAAATATGCAAAACTTTAATCAAAATATGGATGAATGAAGAAGACAACGAACCTTTTTCTTCTTTTGAGTCGCCGGTTTTGCGACCTTCGCTTTTTCCTTCTCCCTCTTTTTTAGTTCAGCTGCTAGCTTTAAAATTAAAAAGTTGAAGACAGGATATAAAGAGCCAATGTATTGTACCTTTCGTTTAGAAGAACTATGTGAAGCGATCTTATCTTAGGTAAAAGATAAGAATAAGGTTGGAGAAATCGTCCGACCCCCAGTTTACTAATTTCTTCTCCTTAACTGTGCAGTTGAACTTCATTGTTTTTAAACTCAAGGCATTTTAAAGTTTCACGATTCTAAAGAAAATTGGAATACATACTAGTGATTTTCGGTAGTTCTTCTTCTCTTCGTAAGGCCCTTATGTCTTGGGTCAGAATTTATGCACGGATTTCGACTGCCTGTCATATGTGACGGGTAAAACGGCATCTAAGGTGACTTCATGAATACCTAAAATCCATGTTGTATTCTTACAGTAGGTGTGCTAACTCATGAAATGTTAACCGAAATTCTGAAATGCGTTTTCTTTTTGAGAGGATTACTTAAAAAGGCTTTAAAACTAATCATGATGTAGCATAATTCTTTAGTGATTCGGTTTCCTCGGGATGCTGACTTTCGAACAAACCTCTGTCCAGCCGCATGAAAAAGCCATGCTCAGCAAAAATGACTACTGATATGACATTAACTTTTTCATTGATTTTCGATGTCTTTAAAAATTCAATTATATTTTGTGGAAAACATGCATAAAATACTTAGTCTTTTACTTATTCGGTAGAAAATTACATCTTCTTCCAACTTTATACTCGAAGGAAGGGTATAACCCAGTTTTTAAAAACGTTTCCAATTCCCGAATAATTTTGAACCCGAACTGCCGTTACACTTGCGTTCGGGGTTTGCAAACCACAAACCGTATATTTTCTGCATACGGCAAACCATACATTTTTCCATGGTATAAGGAGGAGACCATATGAGTTTTATAAAATTTAGCCACATTGTGAACTTTACAAGCCACATTACCAAATGCAGAGACACGATGTTTTAAGAACGGACATTTCACGATATCGAAAAATCTCATAATAAGAAACTTTCCAAAACCGAATTATACCCTTCCTTCGAATATAAAGTTGGAACAAGATGTAACTTTCTACCAAATGAGTAAAAGAGTGAGTATTTATATGCATGTTTCCCACATAATACAACTGAATTTTTAAGGGGGTGAAAAAACACAGAAGAAATCCATGTCATATAAGTAGCCATTTTCTACTGAGCATGGTTTTTTCATGTGACCGTACTGAAGTTTGTTCGAATAACAGCATTCCAAGGAAACTGAATTAGTAAAGAATCGTTCTACATCACGATTAATTTTAAAACCCTAGTTAACTAATCTTCTCGAAACGAAAACGCATTTCAGAATTTTCGTTAATATTTCATAAATTAGCATACATACTGTATATAAAAATGCTCACACGGAGCCTTTTAATTTTAAATAATACCATAAATTTAAAAATTTGAAATTTACTCGAGCGGCCTCTTCAGCAGCTAACATTTCGGGAGGTTTTTGTTTGAAGACCCAAAGAGATCCGCCTGCTTCCTCGCTCGGATAGTCGGGGAACTTTCCAGTGGCATCTCTGGGACAATCGATAACAAAGAACGATAGAATATGTGACGGATATGCAATTTCAAAAGCAGGTTAACAAACTGCAGAAGAAGGCTCAAAGAAATATAGTTAAGGCATTAAAAGGTCTTTATAGAAAATTCGATAATGTAGAAAAAGGCGCAAAAATAGTCGTCGTAGCATGAACGTAATTGTTGGTGATAAACGTGATTTTTGAAGAAAATATTCACTGTTCCATATTATTCAGCAGGAAGAAATAGTCCATCACGTAACGAAAAGTGAGAAGCATTTCAGACAAGTTTTAATATGTAATGTATGTTTTGACATTATAAAAGCATGATAAGCAATTTTTAGTGTTCGGCTTGAGTGGACAAGTAAAATGAGCATTCAGCGCAAAATCGAAAGTTTTATCTCAAAGAAGTAACTTCTGAAATATATTGGTGTGTTCTGTTATTTATTTCGGGGATTTTCTTAAAAAATGTTCACTGCTCGGTGTTTGGGAGATTTTGGCATAAATATGTAGATAGATGTTTATCACTGACAAATTGCCTGAAACCCAAATAAAGCAAATTGCTACGTTGATGTCATTCCTGTTCATACATCTTTCGGATCTCGTCAGAGTCACGGACGCCTATTAGTGTCTTCTTAAAACTCATTTACAAAGGTGTCAGATACTGCCCGATTTTAGGATTAATGCATTAGAATATCAAAGTCTTTAAACAGTGACTAATTGCGTAAGTTATAGAGATGTCATTTGGTGTGCTTTTTAGGTCATATTTTGTTGAAGAAAATATTTTGTAACGTGGTGTACTCGGTGTTCACGCAGAGTGGAGTAAGAATTGCTGACCGCAGGAAAAAGTGACTAAGTCGAATCTGTTTCTGCCTCTGAAGACAAACTTAATAATTGTTAACCTGACATCCTTATTAGAAACCTGCTCATTTTTAAAGTATACGCCTCGGAGCAACTTATGTGTCCGGGGAAACGAATCCTTCATTACATTTATTTTCATACAAGGGCTAGGCCCTTCAAAACTATAAAAAGTAAATTTCGATAAACTATCGGAAAAAGTTTAGCCAAAAAACAATGTCAGTGTTTTATAGTAACAAATCTCTTTATGTTTTGGTTTGCTAACAATAAACCCTCATTGTATGTTGCATGAAACAGGTTTTACCTACAAGGTAAACTGAACACTTCAGGGAAAATTGAGCCGTTGATGTGCAATAATAGAGTAAGTATGTTCACAGATTAGTTACATGTTCTTTGAAAGTTTTCAAACAGATATCTGTTATAAACGGTGGCTGTCAAAATAGCGTTTAGTATTTGGGAATAAGATCCCAAATAGAGTAGAGCATTGAAAATTTACTAAAACAAACACTTTATAAATTTCTCACCGGCATTCCAGAAACCACTGGCGAATCTGCTCTTGCATTCTGTCCTGCATCTCCACACCTTCATTTTGGCGAATTTTCTCCTTAATTGCAACCAGGGCCTGTTCATACTCCTGTGCATTCATAGCTTGCGCGATACGTCGAAGTCCCTCAATCCTCTTGGCCATTTTTGTGGGACCAGTCACGGTAGTAATATAATGCGGATTTAGAGGTTCCTACAAGTATCGCAAAATTTTACTTGAGTGTAATTTTTTTAGCTTAAAGACTATGAGCTGAATAAACTAAAAGTCTTCATGAACTGAAGTGAATCTGGGAAGATTTCCGCATTATACCTTATAATAGTTTACAGCCTATAATGCAGGCAAACATATTCCTCCATAACACATCCTTTGGTGGTTTCAATTGTATCAAAAAAGACCAGGAGTAACATTGAGAATGAGTTTTAAAAGAATACACAGGCCGACAAGATATTACCATCCCGAGCCATATGAACTCGTCCGTTCGCATTTTTTGTGTGTATCTCCTGGCTAAGTGGGCCCGCCATGTCTATAATGAATAAGATAGGAGACAATACTTAAGTGGACATACGCACGGCCTCAGGTCAGGTATTTTTTTACCAACAGTAATTAAAACAGTTACCAAACCAAGAAACCTACTCCCCTTTTGGATCAAGATTGCTGCATCTTTTGGGTTCGGTAAAGCTTTTGTTTCAGTTGTGAGATTTGCATCAGCTTCTTCTTGTTCTCTTATTTCCTTCATAAATTTGGCTCTCAATCGACCTTGTCGAGCACGCTCATGCCTTTGGATAAGCAGGACCGCGTCAAGTATGGGCATTAGAGTTTCCTCCTTATAATGCGCAAAGAACCTGTGATATGACACTCATAGTGTACAAAATAATAGAGGCAGCACTACAAGTCAGTAAAATTATCCAAAAAGTTTAGGAAATCACCCAAGAAATTTGGAATTTTCGACGCTATCTGAGAGTAACAAATATTTATTTAAGCTTCACTATAAAAGACGTGGAGCAAACATGCCAGCAAAGACAATAAAACGAGGCTTTGAGAATAATTACAGCGCCCGGAGCGGTGGAACTCAGTGATTTTCAGGGTCTATAGCGTGGTAGTATATTGCAAATGAACAACTTTCGAAGAAGAGAGTGTTAAGGACAATATGTGCTCCTAATGTTATATCTAATCAATTTTTTACACGTCACTCGAAATTCTTTGCATAATTATTCATTTACAGTTCCGATATTGTTGACTTAGTCCTTACGCTATTAGTGCTTCCCTAAAGCAGATAGAAAAGAATAAGCAAGTCTGAAGTTGGTATGATTATAACAACTTCTTTAGTTACGCGGAGTTGTTTCAGCATCATACAGTATTTTATCTTACAAAATCTTAGAATTTACGTTAACTAAGCTTGACTTCTCTGATTTTTGAGATATAAATAGATTCTCACTCATACCTCCTTCGCTTCTCCCTCAAAATTAGTTCTAATTGTATTCAAAAATGCAGCACGATCTTGAATGACTTTCCATGCATCTTGAACGTAGTAGCGTGGAATAGTTATCTGGGCATCAGTTGGTGTTATTTTCAAATCTGAGAGGACATCGTCAATGTAGTGATACTCAGAGACATCCAGGTTGACCATTTCTTGTTTCAGTTCGAGTATTCTTCCAATAATGTTGTCAAGTATTTTTCTTAAGAGCATTCGTTTTTGAGGATGGACAATTTGATCGTAACATGTTTCAATCGTGCGTAATGACTGACCATAACACACAAATAATGTTGCGACTGTTTGGAATGCGAGCGCTTTATCCTAAAAATGAATTCAGAGCCTTTAAGATCTGATGGAAACTGAGCGTACTGTAAGCGGCTTTTGTTTCGCAATAACCGCCTCAAGTGAAATTATTTTTTGCAGGGCTTTTTGGGCATCTTGCCATTGGGCGTTGTATGATCTATTTATTTATTCATTAATAAGAATTACGAGTTCCCTACACATGAGACATCGCGATAGATTAAATATGTGCCACTTGTTGCCATATCACACATTAACCTTTTGGTTCCGGTGATTAAGGTCGAACACGCTGATAAGGAATCCGAAATATTCAGTCGTCTAAGTATTTTGTGCTTTTTGTGAAAACATTTGCACGAACTCAATCAAAAACTGAGAGCCCTACGCTGCTGACCAGAGAATTTCAGCGGTAATGAGAATAGCAATGGGCGGCTGAGGCAATTTCCCAAAATATATGCCTCAAAACTACATTTGTCCATGGGTCCACAGTCTCCCGATATATCGGCGGTGTAATATTAGGCGCCGCACACATTAGAAACCAGATTTGAGCGTGTAAAGGATCTTACTTTGGATGCCTTCGTTAGTGTTCAGAATCTTCGAACCCTCTCTTTCTAGATAATTTACGTAGTCATGCTCATTATTCCAATATACCGTGTCAGTTTTCCTATTTGCCTGAGAAACACAACATTCTTACTATTCCACATACTCTCCAGTAGCGCGATAGATAAAAATTTCTTACAAGGTTCTTTGACACAGTTGCATTAGAGGTCACCAATCAAAACCGCACATTCAGCTGGCAAAGCCAGATGTGCGGAGGTCCTCCTTCTCTGTCAGATTAGTCAAACCATCGAATGTCCTCCCTGCAGATGTTATGACTCCAACATTGGCAGAAAGTTTTAAAGGGGACCTTGATATATTTACGTTCGGAGAGGAGCAAGAGCGAAGAGAGAACGAGCTCAACCTCTGAGACTCACGATAAACTTGTAAACCCACATGGTTTCTCTTTACACCGCACCCTGTTTGCGTTACAAATATGGTACACGAAGTCTCGCGCCTATCTCTTCAATAAACTCAACTAGACTGAAAAGTAGGAGATTAACCACTATGATGAGGTTTTACTGGACGCCCCCGATTGCTCTTACACTGCGAGAAGGAAAATGTCCGCAAAACCCCACCCGCGGTTATTTGGCTGAGTTAGGCATGAAATATTTAAGGTATTTGCGGTCGACACACTGAGCGCCTTGTTACCGACGTTTTTGGAATGTTATTCGGCAGTGATTTCTCAAGAAAGAGATAAGGAATAGAAACGATCCTTGTAAAGGAACGCGGGTACCGTTAGAAATGCCTGAACATAAATATTTCAGCAGGGTATATAACTAGCATAAATATGGAGAAATTTGCAATATAATACGTCGGCAGCTGGTTTTATACATTGTGGTGCTCGGCGATATCTGACCAACGGAAACCACACAAAACATATCCCGTTCCAATTGTTTAATAATCATGGAAGGGGAGATGCGACAGTTGGAAAATGTATTCTGTACACAGTGCAGGTTACCGCGATTGGGCAGCTCGCTTGTGAATCAGAACAACAAGGCAGCACTCCGAAGACGCACAAAGAGGGATAAAATCTCATTTGCTGGATAAAATCCAGACCCTAAAGTGGGAAACGACGCTGAACCGATATGAAAAACAGTAATACCTGCAAGGCTGACGAAAAAACAAAGTTACCATTAAACTGACCTCCAAAAAATAGAGAAAAATGTTGAAAACGAGTTAATTACTCAAAACGTCACAAGAGCAGGTATTAGATGATAATTGACAAGCGTCAAGGTCAAGCCGATGGTTTTCAATTTGAAGATAATTGGGAGATATTATTTTAATTGGTTTTTCTGAGAGACCTAACGATTTTAGCCCTTGTTTTGGCTAAATTTTCTCAAATACAGGCCTATTCATTCAGAACTACCTGTTGCCATTTCCTTTTTAAGTTCTGCTAGTCCGTAGCTGTCACCACCAATGGCACTCTACAATCCACATTTCGTGCATTCGATTTCTCTCTAACTGTACCTTTTTTACAACATTGGCCTTTAGTTGAAATTAAGTCACCTGGTCTGTCAGAAGTTTTCTTGATTACAACTTGCCTCGAGATAAGATGACAGTAAAAATCACAGGTCCGCGAAGGCCCTCGGCCTCTGTACGCAAGCATGGCTTGACTAAATCTAAGTCGGAAGGCTTAACTAAATCTAATTCCGAAAGCTTACTTATATCTAAGTTGGATAATATTACTAGTCAGTCGTCATCCGTTGTAACCGATAGGCAGCTTAATCTGTCTGCACTTTACAACGGCAATGATTTTATACTAAGGTTTGGCACTCTGCTCTCAATTCTTGGGAAATTATTCGACGGGAACATCTCCGATATTCTCTCTCAAGAATGTAGGCGTCTTGACTCACTTGTTTATCCGATCGTCAGTGAATCTAGTGATAGTCAAAAGCGTGCTTACAACTTTTGCTGAAAAATGTTCCCCGATATGCTCGGCCACTTGATGTTGCGACTAATTTCCTGCATTCGTGTGGTTTTAAGTACAAAATAGCCGATGCAAAAAGCTTGTCCTCCCGTAGCAAAAATCCACCCATCTTAGTCAAATTATTTTCATCAATCGAGGTTGACACTATCTTTGCCCATGGAGATCGTGTCTCTGTGTACCCGGAAAATGCAAAATTTTTACTTTATCATGATCCTACTCCATCGAGCGTAGAATCGGGCCCCTCCTCTTAAGTAAACCCACTGCCGCTCAGTCTTATGCTCACCAACTCGGTCATAATACAAGTGGCCTTGATGACTCAGCTGGTCCTATTCCTGCGACATCTGACTCCCTACTTCTCCCTTACTCTTACATCTCCCTCTCACTCAGGCCATTTGACGTATTCACATGCACCTATATTAGCAGAAACAGCCCTATTTGTCGTTTCTTGCCCTCCGGATAGCCCCGCTGGGACACATGAAGATCCGTCTACATCAGCTAGACCGATAACTTCCCCTGTTCAACAGGGTGCTGCAAGCTCTACAGTTAAGTCACCCGTGGTTTGGCGCCAGAACGGTGAGGTTCCAAAACTGGATCAGACTCCACCAAAAGAAAGGTAGTACAGTTCCATTTAGGGGTACGCCACCTTCTCTTAGATCTACCAAGCCTTTACAGCCCAACACGTCTACAAACCCCGCACCTCCAATTATATCCCCAAATACTTATTCGTCCTGCTTACCGGTTACTTGCGAAAGTCCTACTATATATCAGGCAAATAATTCATGCATGAATTGCCCTGAGTAGCTTATGCCCCAAACTAGTTCAGGCTTCAGAACACTTAAGGCCAACTGCTCTCGGGTAAGTCAGCCTAACTCCTTTGACTTCCAACCTAGACCTGGTCTCCCACACTTTTGTTCTTATAGCTGCCTACCTTCCACACCAGCCTCTACCTTCCTTCTTGGGCCCCTCCTCCTCCTCCTCCTCCTCCACAATTTAACTACCAACAAGCCTATCCCTGTTCTAACTCCCCTTGCATTCCAAAACTCAAAAACTATATACCCACATCCCTTAGGTCTCATATCCAGCCTTCTCTCGCTGATCCCCGTACGTCAATAATTATAGACTAACTGGTACTTATTCTCCAAGCATCATTAATTCACGGCTTACATATCCGCCTCCAAATTTTTTCTTCCAAATACCGTCGACAATAGCATTGCTGTTTGAAACACATTAGATATTATATTATTGAATATCAGGTCTGGTATAAAAAAAATGACCCAAATCAGAGCCATTGCTCTCGAAATGACGTCTGATAATATACATATAACAGAATCTTTGGCCCATTCTTTAATTCCTGACTCAGTCTTTTTTATAGATGACTTTGATTTTTACCGTCAAGACCTCAGGAATAGGCGTGGGGACGGTTGTCTTCTTTATCTTAGAACCTAACTAAAGCACTCTCCCTATTACCTGGATGTCTCCTCATTCACGGAAAACTTCTGCTTAGCATTCGTTATCCTCTCGCCGCGAAGAAAGGCAATTATTGGCTGTATCTAGAATTCCCCAAACTCTTCAGCCAGTGAGGATTCACAACTCTGTGAAATCTTTAAATTTATTTCGGACGCTGCTTTCCATGTTAAAAAAGTCACTGGGGATTTTAACCTTCCTGAATTAGACTGGGTTTCCAGTATCTCTCAACCTAGATATCTGGCGCAGAAGCTATCTCGCCTAAGCCTCTTGCTGGAAGTGACGGGAATTCTCTTCTGCCTGGAGACGATATACCTGGATCATCCAGTCTACTGTTGCCCTCTTCTTCTGGCAACCACCCCGAGCGCACTACAGAGCACGTATCTGAATGCGAAGACACGAACCCGTGGGTAGAGGGGAGAGGGAAACGCCATGACAGGAGTCTGAAGTCACAGCCAGACCTGATGCGTTGCTCGGGACAATCGGTAGAGAATAAAAGTGTGCACCCAAGTGACGACTCCGCAAATCGTCGTCGCCCACATGCAACGAATTCACCGGAAAGGCCAAGTAATGAGGACCATGCTCGCCAGCATTGTGTGGTTATTCAGGATTTCTCGGAACCGAATGCAGTCAGACCTGAAGACCGTGTCTCGGAGGACCTTGCTTCTTTTCATGGTCTACTAAATCAGTTACTCCAGGCAGACATTGAAATAAAGGTTCTGAAGGCATTACGGATGGAAAAACGGAGTGAAGACAGGAAAGCAGCATAACCACCTCGTCCTCTCAAAATTATGCTGGAGAACAGAGAGCAAATAAAGTTGATACTCTCTAAAAAACCGACCTCAGAAACACACACAAACAGGTT